TGTGTGAGCAGACTGGAACAGATTGCTTCCTCCTGTACAGAATGAGGGACCAAAGCACAGACTAAAACTGCGAGCGAGCTCCCGCCTGATCAGAGCTGGGGGTGGACAACTGTAGGCTGCAGCTGAAGCAGCTGAAGGCAAATTGTCGTGCTGCAATTTAATCCTGAAGAACAATCAAGCACAGGTTTTCAGAGCATTTCTTTGTCTTTTTAAACGTTATTTGCAAAAACACAATGTGGGTATAGACTAAACATTCCCGTTCATTGAGACAGAAGTATCCTATTGATAGTAGCTTAAAACAGTTCCCTTCTTGTCTGCTTGCATGAAAATTTAGGTTTTGAAATGAGTAAAAAGACCTAAACAGAAGGCTTTGCGAGACAGAACGGGTGTTAACTCACTCTCATTACTGATCACTCCAGAATCCACTGGCTATCCACAGCCTTGCATCTCCTTACACCAAGATTATGGAGTGCAGAGAAAAGAGAAGATCAGAGCAGACAGATCATTTTGCTGCAAGCAACAGCCTATCTGGGAACTTCTAAGTGCAGTAGATTAAGAAAATGTTTAGTGGCTATCATGATTCAGTTAAGCCAGTTAAGTCTGTGAAAGCCCCAAGAAGCATTTATGGCAAACACAACTTTATTATCATTTCTGTTATCAATGAAAGCTTGGGTCAGATAAGTTTCTTATTTTCACAAAAGTCAGATTTTTTTAATCTGTTTCTCAATGCCGTTTGACTGAAACAGATGAAGCTGAGTAAGTTCCTTAGATCTCAAAAGCATTACGTCTTGAATTTTTGCATCAGCTTTTACTGCAGATCCCTTTTCAGTCCCAATATTTTTACTCAATTTCCTTGGGAGGAGAAGAGTTCAGGCTCTCAGCTGTCCCTTATACTACAGCACTTTAGGCCAGTGAAAAGCTAATAGAAGCTAAATTTAGGATTCAAGCAGTAAATGCAAGGGGAGACTCAGCTGAGTATTACAAGATCCATCCTGCAAAATGGAGCCATCAAACAAAGAAGGCTGGAGCAGTGTTAGTCTGACTGTTCAGCTGCAGGAACAAGCTGGGACAGCAGGCAGGACAGAGGGATCTGTATCCAAGGGACGAGGTCAAGGGCTGGAGCAGACAGAAGCAGGTGTTGGGTCTCAGGATCACAGACCAGAGCCACACCCAAGTCCCATGGGGAAACCTGGCTGATGGGAAAACCATCAGCTAAGGCTTCAACCCAATACCTAAATCCTGAGGGACGGACTGTGGCCAGGGAATCTGACTGCTGCTTGGAATCCCCAAGTTATCCAAGTCAGTTTTGGAAGGGATTTGGTTCATGCTAGAAATGGTGCTGTCAGTCAGACGGTTGCACATGCTCATGCATATGAATAAACAGGTGTAAAAACTCACAGGAGAACAGACACCTTGCACTTTGGGTTGGAAAGACACAGTATAAAGATTTCAAGTAAGCCTGCTTAGCAGGAGGCCATTATGAGATAAATATGGAGTGTTGCTCCTGAGATACCTGGATTTACAAAAAAATTATTCTGAAATTAAAAAATATATATACATATAAATTTATCTAGCATCAGTGTGGGAAGCCTTTTGAAGTTTTGCAGAACATTAGGAAGAGCACATTCAACATGAGGAATTTTATAAAAATATCTCTCCCACCAAAAATCAAGATAACTTTTCTAATACTCGCTCTAAGTTAATCATATTCTATCTATTCTCTTTACCAAAATAGAATTTATTTCTCTTTACCTTTGTGTGTGATATGAAACCCAGGAATACCATATGGTCTAGAAGAAGCACAGAGTAAGTCCCAAGATGTGCTTTATAAAAATAAAAACAAAGCAACATTTTATTCTTATCTATCTCTCCAAACTTACATTATAAGTTAAAGTCTCTTATTGTGTAAAATATTAATTCAAATTATGTTTTTAAACACTGAAAAGTCAAAAATAACCATATAAAGAAATACTAGTTCTTGGGTTTGTGACTTTTTAATGCTTAACACGATAACTTCCAAATTAACTGTCCTTATTAATGTGCTTAAAGTCGTTACAATCTAAAAATTGCTTTGTCAGATTGGAAAATACATTGGTGGCTTCCTTCTGGTTGTTCACAGACTGACTTCTGCCATTGTGGCTGCAATCAGCTGCTGCTCGTGCTGGCATTGTGGGTGTGGAAGTCCAAGAATGAAAGTAAACGAGTGTTTTCTACGGCAGCACTGCAAAACACAGATTTGTCCATTCTGGTAAAGAACACTGGGCAAGTGGCACTGCCTGTAGAGATGCTGTAGCTGTTGTGTGAGTCATGGGTGTCAGTGAGACCAGGAAAAACACTTTTGTGAAGCTTCATTCTCTCTTGGATGGGTAGGAGCAGGCTGGCCTGGCTTTTGCTTCTTCACAGCCATACCAATCTGTCTCCTCATCTGTTCAATTGCTGCTCTGCAGACTAATTCTGTCAGTTCCAGATGTTTCATTAATCTTAGTAATAAAACAATGTGGTTTGTACCCATGGAGTTGGGTAATTTTCAGAAATAAAAAAAGCAATTTCTGTTTGAAGAATCAATTCCTGAAAGCTACTCACTGTTCATGAGTACCAGTCCCATATTAGCTGAATTTTAATTCAGTCATGGAGATTGTGCTTTGGGGCTCCACTAAATGTATAAACACACTTAATATAGATAAGTTTATCTAGCATGTTTTAACCTAGCTCCTTGACAATTGTTAATTTTGCATAAAGCTGGACCACAACACATTTTCATCCCAGGGAACAAGTTTGTTCCCATGGACAGCTCCTAGAACTGTTGTGAAGTAGCTAAGAGCCACAGGACCCTCCATGAGTAAGCACAGCTTAGTTTCAGTTCTGGCTTGGAAAAAAGACTACAGAGAAGTGTTGTAGCCAACAGTAACACAAAGAGCTTTTAAAACTGGAACACTTTTTCTCCACACTTGTTGTGCAACCATGGTCACAGGGATTCAGATATTACCAAAAGATATCAGGAAATTCACAGAGAGGAAACCACTATCACAATTCATGTATGTAATTGAGCTGGGTTTTTAAGTAGGACATCTTGTAATGAGTGTTTCTTTTCCCCTATTTTACTAATTTAATGGCCAAAATCATGTTCATTAAGATCCAGGATACAGCATGTATAGGAAATTATCAGAGGCTTATCAGAATTCATCAGTGATAAATGTATTTAACTTCTTGCTTATCTCAATACTTTGTGACACCCACTGAGGAGAGTTATCTTCCAGGGGCATAGTACAAAAATCTGCTTACTGAGATACGTTACACTTCCAAAAAAAAAATAAAAAAAAAAAACCAAAACACTCGATTATTATTTAAAGCCTGAGTTTAAATCTCACATGTTTCTCACAATGCACTCTGGAAGTGGTCAGGAGGGTTATCTCAGGTTGTTTGTGAATCCCAAGAAGAGGGAAAGGTTATGTAAGACTTGAGACTTGCTGGCTGTAAAAGGTTACACTGAAAGCAACACAAGACGAATTCACAAGTATGGCTTATAGTTTTTTTTTTCCTTGGGAGTGTCACCAGTGGAACCTTACATGAAGTCACGAGGATTTTGGAAGACTAAATGAGCTTTCCTGAAATTCTTGAAGAGCATTTTGAGCCTGATATAGAAGAAAGCAAAAGAGAAATTCCAAAGAGATTGTAACAGAAACTTAAAAGGATTTTCAGTTAACAGTGTTATATCTACAAAAAGGTTTTCACAAAGGTGCAGATAAACTCTATGTAAACAAAAAAAGAAGCCCAAAAGTATCAGGATTACTGACCTCAATGCAAAATAGATTTGCATGCAGTTGCCCTCTCCTGCTGCTTTTTCTGCTTTCGGGTGGTCATCTTTGTTATTCCCTACTTCTTCCCCTCACTGTGATTCCATTTCTCTTGTTTGTCCAGGTCCACACAAGAAGTACAGGATAAAGAATAACTAACAAGGGAAACCCTTCAAAACCATCAAATAAATATTTTAGTGAATTTATTAACGTTTGTGCCATTTGGATGGATGGAAGCAGGGGCAAATGCAGGGTCTTGAATAAACAAAAATTTTCTCTCTTTTTAAGAATATCTGCAAATAAGCAGCCAAAGCTCTGTGTTAGATCTAAAATGTTTTCTCTGAGGAGCCATTTCATTGTGCTCATGCAAGGCAAATATAATTACTCTGCTAAATAGATAAGTCTCTAAAACCACACACTTAAACCTCTATATTCTCTTACCAATATTTTAATATCAAATTGAAATTGAAAATGTTCCACTAAGAATGTTCTTTCAAGGGCTAGGATTCAGATGATAAGAGGATGTTTTTGTCAACTATTTTGAAACATTATTAAAAGGTCTTTAAAATGGTTTAAAAGGACATTTGATAAACCTTTCAAATTATCAAAAGCATAAAGGGTCAGCTTTGCAACTGCTGTAAATTATCACCACTCAGGTCATCTTGCTCTTTTTTGTAGATATGGTGGGTTATTGCATAGCTGATAGTTTTAAAAGGGCATTATTTCTGGGGATTTTTTTAGTTTTCTTTTCAGTAGTGTTTTACAGTGCTTCAGTCATGTTTTAGTGTAGGGCCTGATCAGAGAATAAGATATGAGTTTTACCACCAAAATCAATAAGAAAATAAACCCCTGGAGGTTAGACTTATAAATTTATACATTTGAAAAAGAGAGTTCAATTCACCTGTAAGAATGTAAGTCTCTCAAATATGTCATTGCCAAGAAAGGTCATCCTGCATTTTTCAGTGAAATCTTGGGAATAATTTATATATTGAAGAAACAATAGTGAACTCCATAAAAACAAATGTAAATAACCAATCCATAAAAACACCTATTTCTAGATTTTGCAGAACATTATGATTTCTCAAAGAGTTTACAGTAAGAAATGTACAGTAAATACAACACATTGCCTGTAAAAGGCAATCAGCTTCTTATTTGGTTTTGAAAGGAAGAACAATTAATAGTCCAGCCAGTCATGCCATGTCTTACCTGAAAGATAGGAAGTTCTCCAAAGCTCTGCCCAAGAGTCAATCCCAGACAATCACTTATTCTCTCTACAAAAAGCCAATGATACAACAAAGATTTAAAACATTTTTATTCATAAACATAAAGGCACAGCCAATCCAAGAGACACTAAAACATCATGTTCTTCTACAAAAGTGTGAGAAGCTTCTCAGGAAAACAAATAATATATGCGCATACTGCAAACACACATCTTCTCCAGTGCCCCTCTGCACTTAATTCTGAACTCCATTATGCAAGTGGACCACACACTCCACATAGGTCTGGTTTATATTTACCAGAAGTGAGAAATCTAGACTCCTTTTAAGTACCAAAATTGCTTTAGAAAAGTTCTTATTAGGAATGTACACATTCAGCAATTGTTTCAGAAGTAGCAAAGACAGCAAAAACATTTAGTAGCCTTCAAATATGTACATGTAAGTACCATCTCTTTCCCATTGCTCCCTTTAGAAGCTTTCCCTAAACAATAAAATGATTTTGTCTATGCTTACTTCCTATTTATTCCCCAAATTAACATATTCTAACTTTAGCAATGTTTTATATCTTGTCCTGTGTTGATGAATTTGAAAGATTACTATTTATTTTAATACCCACATAATCATACCATAACTACAGTATAGGCAAAGTAAAATTGAAGATGCTCATTCCTATAAACCCCATCATGCCAGTACAGCACATTGCCAGAAGAGAGAAATACTGGGAAGAAAAAAAAAGAAGCCCTTTAATTTTAGTAAAATAGTGCATGGACTACAGGTGTAACCTGTAATTTGAAGGTAGAACATATATAGCTATTTTGAATTCAAAATGTGTTTATGCTTGTTTAACAAAGGTAAAAGTTTAGTTTCAGTGTCATCAGTAAATTCCCACATTCCCCAGGGGAAGTTAGGCAGGCTGCGTATTTTGAGTCTCAATTTCTGATACTTCCTCAGGCTTTCAAATTCTTTTAAATAGAGTTACCCCACACCCGTTCTCCTACAAGTTGTACAATTTTCAGTCTCTTAGTTCTTGTAATTAGTAACATGTCATTAGCTCCTCAATCAACAGAGAATTTTCCTTGGAGACTTTGAATTTCAAATGTGGAAATCAAGCAGAAAACTTCTTTTGTTGGCATAAACCTTTCAAGATTTCTGTATTTATCATCAAGTACATGGCAAAGCCTTACAGGAAATCCAGAACTTCCCCATGATAAACTGCAGTAAATTACAATTCTGAATATCAAGTACACATCTGTTATTAGACTTAACATTAGCGTTAATTCCACGGCTTTTCCAGCCAATACTGTCTATGTAAGTACAAGTAAGAGTGGTTGCAGATTCCTTTCCAGCCATCTCCTAAAGAAGGAGTGTTTCAGGTCATTACTGGTCCCTGAGATCTGTTCTCTCCTGTTCTCACTACATGTGCTTCACTCCCTCTGTGTCTCTTCTGCCCTCAGCCAGCCATCATATTAGATGTCAAGTTGAAATATTAATAATAATAATATTCTCTGTGAGATTATGCAGAGGTGTTCACATCCAGAAGCATCATTGTGTCTAAGTGAAGGTAGAAAGTAAAAGGAAAGATTTGGTCATGACTTGTGGGGAAAACAAAAATTCAGTAGCATATCAGTAACCTCTGAATGTATGCAAGTTCTAAACAAACATGTAAAACTCTGATAAAAGCAGGTCTGTTTCTGCAGCATTGCTGCTGTTCTGCTCAATTAAATATTCAATAATTGCATTCTCTTGCTTCTTGCAAAGTGCTGGGACCCTGCTCTCTGGCAGTACAACCACTTAGCAGCCAGAAACATTGGCCAAGGCCAGTGCTAAGGCAGAGCATGAAGTCATAAACATGCACAGATGTTACTATTTGAAAACATTAAAGAGCTACTGAAGTTCCTGAGCACTTCTCAAGTTGTGTTGATTTCAGCAGTAATGAGTCATAAGGGAAGAAGACACTACTAAAATTACATGCCTGGGACACTTTTCTTTGCCACTTACATTTAGGAAAAAAACAACAGTGTCTTTAGAAAATCTTAATGGGGAGGAGAGCACTATGGAAATGAATAGATCTGCTTGCTTGTGTTTATGCAGTAAAACAAATACAATTCTAATGCATTACACATTTCTGATGATTTCATGGAAAGCTCGGGAGATCTAATTTCGCAAGTATCTAAAAAGGTTAGTGCTGAAGGTTATGGGAAGTTATGCAACTGATTATTTTAGGGAAAATTTTATTCCATGGAATTTGGGGCAGTTTTATAAACATAGCAAAGAAAAGGAGACTACTCACATATTCTGTTCCAGTCCAGCACTGATGAATTATTGCATTGAGTCTACTGAAATATTCAGTTAGGTGAGTGAACATGCTCAGGAGGCCTTATTTTTTGGTTTTTTTTGAAGTCCCTGAACCTTTTCTGAGTTCACTTTAGTAGAAGCTCAAGCCTACTTTGCCATGTAGAAACAGGGATTTCATGATGAGCATGAAAATTTATCACAGAGTGCTGATATACTTACGCTCAGGCTAACCTTTCTGTAGTTACCTCACCCTTCTATTACTGAAGAAAGGACCCTCAAATTAAGAAATGCAACCTAATAACTCTGTTCACCTCGGCAAGTATAATTCAAGGTTTAGAAAGCTGTCTTTAGGGGACAAAGCTGAATCTCTGAGAGAATCCTGGCCCATTATCTACTAAAGAACTGTAATTTTAACTGAGGCAGAGTAGAGCTAACATCATGCATTTTACATTTTTACCAGTGGAAGGATAAAGATGCCCAGAAAAAAGAGATAATTTAAGCTACCATTAGGTTTCTAGCTCAAGAAATAGAGTACCAAAACTGGAAGAAAGTAAAACTTCATGAAAATAGAAACTTCAGATTTTTTTCTCCCTTTTGCTGTTGCCGTTAAGCAATTCTTTTCTTCCCGTTTAGGAATTGTCTTTGTAGAAACAACATTGTCTTAGACACTTTCTCTCCAGAAACGCTCTCATCTTGTTCTATTCCTAGAGAGAACTACTCAAACTATGCAATAAGTTGGCAGGTATCAGTCACCACCTCCTTGCTGGGCCCAAACTCAGCTAATGAAATGAACGAGTGCAAGTTCCACATCACCTTTTGCAAAAGGATCACTTACATATTTAACTATGCATCACAGTATCAGTCTCCTCTATCCACTATTATTCGCTGAGGTTTGTCTCTAGATAGTTTGCTTTCTAAATTTAATTAAATATATTTAGTTTTATATCTAGAAATATGGAGACTTACGAAACTTATGGAGAAGTTGGTTTGATTCAGAGGGTTTGAAATGAGGTGCAATCCTCCAAAGAATAAGGGAAAAAGAATGCAGTTTTGTTGGTGCTTATTATTCATAAACGAGTCTACACAATAGCTTATAGACCATGAAGATTATGATGTAGCTCATGAGCAGCATAAATCTATTAAGAGACATGAAAAAGTACCAATGTCAAAAGTATCAATGTCAAAAGTACCAATGTCATTCTCATGTGGCAACATGAGAATGTGGCCTCATGACAAAAAAGGCAGGAGTGGGCAAAGAGTAAAGCACTGAATTTCCTCATGTTTAAAAACTTACATGTGAAAGAAAAAGCCTTTCACCTCTTGGCCCATCTGTCTGTGGAGATAGGTACATGCAGGCCTTACAAATCTTGGCAGGTTTCTCATGAAATGCAGGGCTGAATGTTTCAGGAAGTGGTCTTTCAGGTACAACTTGTACAACCATTTTCTAATCAGGCTCTTGCTGGAAAACTTTTTGTTCCAAAACATTTGGGCATCATGAGGTTTGGTGTTGTTTTCCAAAACAGAGGGAGACCTCACAACAGTTTGAAGTGATTCCCAGCCGCAGTAAGGTACAGAAAGCTGCTGGGAAGAAATGGGCCTGCTGCATTTCTGTTGATAAAGTGAATATATTTGTTATTAAGGGACTTGTAGTTGATACTTATTTCTGTTGCACTGAATTATATCCAAGCTCTTGATATTGAATAAGATAACAGTGAATCAAACAGCTATCTCAGAAATGTCCCAAGTACATTATGAAAAGGAATGTCATCACATGACTTTTTATTACTTTTATTTCCATTTATGACAATTTGTTGACTTTATTTGTAGTAAATTATAGATATTACCTTGTTCTTATAGAAAAAAAAACACGTGAAAAATAAAAATTTATACATTGAGCTGCAGTTTTTAGATCTTGAAGCTCCTTCTGACTACCAAATTTGTATTTATTGGGTTAGCACCCAAATATGAAAGCTTTTGTCAAGAACCCATTCATCTTTGACCCAGAACTCTGAGATTAGACTTCACACATATTTAGTGGCCGGTCACTTAACATTGGCCTATTTTATGCAAATAGTCTTCCATTTAAATAACAGTCATTTCCATTTATTAGAGTAATTCAATTTTCTAAGGACAGTCTAATCATACAGCTGCCCCATTATGCCATGGATGAATGTCGTCAAAAACTGTAATTACATTTAAAATCTGTTGCTGCTATTTAGCATTCTGTCACACCTGCAGCTCTATCAGTGGCTCACAGATAGGAAGTACAGAGATCCATGTCTTATCTAGAGAGCATATGGAGTACGTCCCTGTTCCAACCAGGATCACTGTATTGGTGCATTTGTAATGTTCATAAAGGGAAAATTACTAGAGCTTTGATGAAGAAAAGTTGAATTGACAATCATTTCACAGACATTATCTATAGGTAGTTCAGCAGAGGTGAATCACTGTAGTATTTGCACAGTATTTTAGAGGGTCCTTCATCCATGTGAACAGTGAGCCTGGTTTTGCTGCAGGCTGTTATACCACAAAAGAGGGGTGCATTTACAAGTCCTCAATTTCTCTTATGTAGGAGAGAATATCCTACAGGTCTTTTACAACTAAGCTCATCTGAGACCTCCCTCAAGAGGTTTTTCCTTAAGTGGAATTTGTTACAGGCTTATTGAAGCTTGTGACTTCAAGACCACCAACACTGTTCAAGATGCAATAAGAGAGATTTTTCATTCTTCTGTTGACTTCATCCATCTGAAAGGGCCACA